CAGCCCCTGTGGGGACAAAAATTATTATCATATTGCCCAAGATGCTCACCTCCTATTTCTGGCCCTTGTGCATACCCATGGATAACGACCCTTCAAGAATGAAAGTCAGTAGAATCAAGGAGCTCATCACCTGTGACGCCCGTGTTAAGACCATGGTCACTTGGATAGGCCATCGCACAGCGCATGGTAATCCATCTTCACCTGGACCACTAAACAAGATCTAGTGATTCTAGCACCTAAGGGCAAGGAATCCTGGAAATAAGTGCGGAGTGCCAGCTGCATAGTTAAGTAGAGAGGGGATGTCTGGGTCCCATAGCCAGCAGTACCAGTCTTGGTGCCCTAACCTCCTCTCGAGGGTACCCCTGGCCGTCGATGGAGTAGACAGCTTTTCAGGGAACAGCATTGATGTGCCTGTCCACATAGCAAGTATGGACAGTACTCAAGGACTCTTATTTGGACTTCTATATTTGTATTTGCCAACTTCAATCAGACAGTGGTGCCACCTTCAGAGGGAAACGTACCCAGTGGTGGCCAGCTTCATGGGCTTTCACTGGACTATTCATGCCCCATGTCATTCATTGTCAGCAGGTGCCATTGAAAGATTACATGGATTCTTAGAGAAGAGACAGTGTAAGATAAGTGGACAACCGGTGCTTGGTTCCCAGTGCAGCACACACTTAAGAAAGCAAGTTTGTTCTTTAAATGTGGCATTTCCCCAGCTGGTACAGCCCATTTAAATAGAAGGTTTAATTATGAGGTTGAGAAGGTGGTGGAGGAGGCCCACAGAACGGGGAAGAAAATGCTTATCATGCTGGTGACTCCCTTCAAAATTCCTTTCCTTCTCCTTCCGCCTCAACTTTTTATATCCCAGAGATGGGCAATGGGCTGATATCTCCATAAACAGCTTTGTTCAAGGTTCTGGCAAGGTAGCTGAGTTCACACTTTAAGAATGTGGGTTACTTGGCATTTATGGTTTTGGCTTTTTGGAGCATCTGGCAAAGCTCTTATAATACAGGGACATTAACTTATCCACTTTACCTATCCTCAAACGTGGAGGGAAGTCAGTATTCTTTCATCCCATCGTTTTATAGGTGGGGTGCAGGAGGGCCCTGCCACATATGTGACTGCCTTTGGCTCTCTCTGCAGGCAATGCCTCCTTTTTGTTTTTAGAGAGAATTTCAGTTTGAGTTATCTTCCTGCAGACTTCTCCTCCACCTTTCAAGAGGGATATTTATACTAGGTAGCGTTCTTGGAAAGCCTCTTTTGTATTAAGATTTGGCATTTGTTGGCTGTTGACTTTACTACAGCTTCAGGTATTGATTCAATCCCAACAACCAGTGTGTGTAGTCCTTCATTTTAGCGAAAAGTAGCTCCCCGTATATGTACTCCTTCAGTCATTTGGTTTGTGGCATGTTTGGCCTCCAGGACCCCAAGGTAGGAAGTTTGATCCCGACTTTGCATGTGGGGTGGTAGCAGTACATCAAAGGGCCTCATCTCCATGTTGATTTTAACCCGAGCTCCCATATGGACTGAGTGGTTAGTATCCCAGATGCTTTTGACATTTTACTTTTTGGGATTTTCGACTCCCTTTTCTGGATCCTGATGACATCACAGTGGCATATTGGAAAAATATAGATGACATCCTGTAGGTCAAAATGGGACAGGTCGGGTTTCCCTGCTGGCGCAGTGGTTGAGAGTCTGCCTGCCGATGCAGGGGACACGTGTTCATGTCCCGGTCTGGGAAGATCCCACATGCCGCGGAGCGGCTGGGCCTGTGCGTCCGGAGCCTGTGCTCCGCAATGGGAGAGGCCACAACAGTGAGAGGCCCGCGTAAAGCAAAAAAAAGGGACAGGTTGATTTTGAAAAGAAGATTCTGGATGTACTGTATGTTCATTGGTGGACAGATCTAACTTAGGAAACCATTCATATAGAATAAGTGTGTGGACATGGATTCTAGTGGAATTCTCCTTGCCCAGCTACCCCTAGGAAAGTCTCCTTGAATTATTGGGGGCTTGTCTTCAGTTAGAGAATCACTGCATTCTTTGTAGCTATTACTCAGCATAATGAATGAGAACATGGGAGACTTGGGGAGAAGGAGAGAAAGCAGGAAAAGGGGAAGGAAGTGAGAAAAGGGGGGTGACGGGAGAAATTGAGTACAATGTGGGGTACAATATGCATGTAACCCAGTTTCCTTTCATCCTTCTCTGGATTGTCAGGGTGCATGCAGACCCTGCCACTTATGTGACTACTTCAGCTATGTCTTCTTTAGTAACCTTCTTGTTATTCTTGGAGAAGCATCTCCTCTGTGAATTTCTCTATCGCCCTTCAAGCAGGGTTTTTTGCGTTAGTAAGTTTTCTCAGGGGGCCTCTTTTTCTCTCATATTTTCAACCCACTTCTGCCTTTTTATCTTCCATCTATTCCCCAGTTGACAAATTGCTCATTCTCACTGTCCCCGTCCCCCACCAATGCAATCCCCAGATAGAGAAGGGCTTAGGGAGAAGAGCAAATCAGAGATCTGTAAATGGTGGAATTGCTGCTCACTCCCAGGTGCATGCTTCCTGTCCTTTCTCCAGGGGACATCCAGACCCACCCTCTTGGTTTTACTTGGGTGAGTCAGACACTAGTTCCTGTGTTTCTCAACCCCCATGGGCATCAGTTAGCTTTTCTGTAGCTTTTATCACCAGTTTGCAGCTAGGGGAAAACAATATTTGTCCCTCCCTCATAAGTGTGGAGAAAATGCTCACCCTGTCGACAACTCTCTGTAACATTTCTTTTCTCCTTCTTCCACCTCAACTCTTTTATATCTCTGTGTTGGGTAATGGGCTAGTGCTGACAGAACCCATTTGAGTGCATTATTTTGTAAGCTGGCCAGCACCTCACTTTAGAATATGAAAGTATTTGACATTTATTGTCTTGGTCTTTGGAGTCTGTAATAGTTTGTAGGGCTGCCATAATAAAGTGCTACAAATTGGGTGGCTTAAACAATGGAAATTTATTGTATCATTTGAAGGCTGGAAGTCAAGACCAAGGTGTTGGCAAAGTTCATTCCTTCTGAGAGATGTGAGGGAAAGGGGTTTTCCAGGACTGAGTCCTTGGCTTGTAGATGGCTATCTTCATGTTCACATGGTGTTCTCCCTGGGTATGTGCCTGTGTCCACATTTCTTCTTCTTAGAAGGACACATTGGATGAGGGCCAGCCTAATGGCCTCATTTTAACTTGGTTATCTCACTAATGACCCTATCTCCAAATCAGGTCTTATGTTGAGGCACTGGAGGGTTAGGGCTTCAACATGTGAGTTTTGGGCAGAACACAGTTTAACACATAAGTGAGCCTCTGTCAGATGTCTTACCTGAGCGGGCATGTGTTCAGACTCCCGTTCAATGCAGGCTTTCAGGAATGTACCTGTTCTCTGACGGGGCACTAGGCTCATTCTAGACCAGTGAATGTTGTGACTCACCACTCTGTTTTGCTTCGCTTTTTTCCCCAAGGGATCCTCTTTAGTGCTTTCATTTTAATGCAGGCTCAGGTCATTCACCATTGCAGAGCTCACACGCGGACAGGAAAAGCACAGTCCTTTCTTGTGCATGTGGTGGAAGCGCAGTGCACTCCCAGGCCAGCGTTCTTACCGTATCTTCCGGCAGGTGCAGCTCTAGCCCCCGGTACTTGACTTCATTGCATGAGCCACATATTGTCTTGTGGTTGTTTTGCAGACTCCACAGGACATAAGACAGACTTTCTGAAGCTCTTTGTCCTTTGCTTGAAGTAAGGGGGAAATAATCCCTGTTCCTCCTTCTTCGGAGTGAAAGGCTTACCACGTTCCCTTTCTCAGGGTCTGTGTGTCCACATGGAGAACACAAAACTTAACTTCTGTGGGAGGTGGAGAGGCACGTCACTCCCCAGCCAGATCTAAACACACAGCTGATCAAGACGCACACACGTTGTTGTAACCAGTACTGCTTGAGTGTGGGAAGAGTTGTGTTAAGTCTATGTAATTCTTTTCTTGATTGTAGGGGTGTTCCCAGTGGGGAAGTGCCACGATAGAACAGTGGTAGTGGGACAAGTGGACAACTGGGAGCCCACCAGGCTGCCCCAACCCAGCCATGAGGTATCAGTAAAGCAGGGCAGAGTTCTGATTGGAAGGATGTATAAAAGAAGATCTCTACATTGACCAAGGGACTAATGGAGGTGGATGTGCTTAAAGAAGCTGTACCACCTACAGTATCCCTAGGCAGCCAGATTAAAAATGAAGGGTACTTGATGCCTCATTGTAGATGAAGCTCTGTGTGGCAGCAGTCCTCCTGGCCTTTATAGTTCCGATATCATAACATTCTCGGACTCCATTGTGCATACTGAAGGGTCTTGTGTGCAGTGATGGACATGCTAATGCTTTTTTCAACTCCCACGGAACCTCTGTGATTAGAGTCTGCCTTCATGGGTCAGAGTATGTTATACGTTAATGTGGCAATGCGATGAGACCCGCAGTTTTCCACCAGCAGATAGGTCAGAAAGCACAGAAGGCTGAAACCTCATCACAGGTGTCCCAGTACCATTACATGGATGACATTATTTAGATTGGAAGGGACAAGAGCAGCAGATGGTCTGCTTTAGAGAGTTGGTCCAACTTCTTAGTAATTGGCACTAGATTAACCAGTCACATATTAAGAAATAGCCACCCAAATAAGGAAATGATGCACTTTGGGGTTTTGTTTTTCCTTTCTAATATGTCATTGTTCACAGTCATACATCAGTGAAATAATGGCTTATAGTCTATTAATGCCACTAAAGGCACTCAAAAATGTTTCTGAAATTGTCATTAATATAATGTCTAACATTGGCAGCTCAGTCTCTTTTTTTTTTTTTTTTCTTGCAGTACGCGGGCCTCTCACTGCCGTGGCCTCTCCCGTTGTGGAGCACAGGCTCCGGACGCGCAGGCTCAGCGGCCATGGCTCACGGGCCCAGCCGCTCCGCAGCATGTGGGATCCTCCTGGACCGGGGCACGAACCCGTGTCCCCTGCATCGGCACGCGGACTCTCAACCACTGCGCCACCGGGGAAGCTCAGCAGCTCAGTCTCTTTGAGGATGTCAAGGTAATGTTGCCATTTGTGCTTTTGTTTTTGGTGCTAGTCTGACACCGCAACTGAGCACACTCCATTTGAAAGACTGTTGCTGGCTTGTTAGTGGGTAATGATGGACATCGAGAGAGCAACAAAGCAATAGCAGGGGTTTTTAAACCCTCGTATCCCTATCAAGGGATTGGTAACATGAGAAACGCATAAAGTTGTTAGAACCCAATGAGCCTTCATGTTTATGTGGAAGTGGCACACCAAGGAAGGAAGTTAACTGGGCATTAGTGGTGTCTCGTAGCTATAGGAAAATGTATCCAGTGACTCTCCAGGTATGGCTCTCTTAGATGTACGGATTTGAGTCATCAACTCAGGCTACTTGGTGGCTTTGGTATACCAAGTTTCTTGTGGGTGGTTGGGTCTAGTTTATGGACTTATCCACTAAATTAAAGTCTAGTGGTGAATGTGAGCCAATGTAGCTGCACAGTACCAAAGAAAAGCATTTACACCTGTACCTGCAATGGGAATTCTGCTCAATTGGTAGAGTTTGGGGTGTGGTGCTTGTCCTGGAGAATAAGCCCCCAAATGCATCGTGCTACATTTTTACCGACTCCTGGTAGAAGTTAATGTCTTGGTAGTGTGGGCTGGTGGCTAGCAGCTGAAAGACTGGATGATCAAGTTTTAGCCTTTGTTGGAGTGAACCTTATCAGCAGAATGCTAAAGGTGCATACCGTCTGTTCATGTGTTTTATGAATACCCGTGGATAAAGATCCTCTGAGGGAAATTCAGTGGAATCAACAAGCTCATCAGACATGTCCTGCCCAGGTTAGGACCAGTGCCAACTGCAGTGGTAATTCATCTGCAGTTTGGGACCTGGCCCAAAACAAGACCTAGAGATTTCATCACATGAGGCCATGGAATCCTGGAAATGTGCAGAGTGCCAACTGTACAGTTGAGTAGAGGGGATCTCTAGGTCCCAGAGACAAACGTGCTAGAGCTGGTATTCTCTCTTTTCAAGTATACCATTGATCATAGGCAGCAGTAGATACCTTTTCTGAGTATGGTATTGCCAAACCCATTCTCAGGGCAGATTGGGGAATTTCTGTAATAGACTTAGACTTTGCTTCATTTTGGGATTCGTTGGCTGCATCCAATCAGACAATGATGCCTGATTGTAGGAAGAAATACTCAGTATTTTGAGCTACTTGGGATGTTTGCTGGATCGGTGATGCTCTGTTGAATAGCCAGGTAGCAGGTACCACTGCAGGATGGCTTGGATTCTCATAGAAGAAACTGAAAGAGAGAAAGGGATGACTGCTGCTCAGTTTTCAGTGGAACACTTGCTTAAGAAACCTAGTTTGAGTTCTAAATGTGGCAGTTCCCCAGGAGGGAGCCTCCCATTTACAAAGAATGTTTAATTATGTCTTTTATTTATTTATTATCGATTATTTTATTGCACTTAGATTTTCAGTCATAGTTAGAGAGTTTCTCAACAGGTTGTTGGGGAAATCATCCATACTTTATCCTAGTAATTGTGTGATTTCAGTTTTTTTTTTACATTTATGTATCTGATACATTTGCAGATTATTTTTATGCAGTTTCTCTTTCCCTGAATGGTTTGAGATGTCAGATTTTTCCTGTTTTTAGTTTCATATGTACTATCTATTGACTTTCTGTTCTAGTTTACTGGTTTTCTGTCTATAAGCACTGCACTTGTAATTCTAGGGTAAAACACCTCAAAGCCTTCCTATCCGATTTTCTTTTTTTCATTAATCTTTATCAGAGTATAGTTGCTTTACAATGTTGTGTTAGTTTCTACTGTACAGCAAGATGAATCAGCTACACATATACATATATCCCCTCTTTTTTGGATTTCCTTCCCATTTAGGTTACCACAGTGCATTAAGTAGAGTTCCCTGTGCTATACAGTATGTTCTCATTAGTTATCTATTTTATACATAGTATCAATAGTATATACAAACTGCTCATGCAGCTCAATATCAAAAAAGCAAACAACCCAATCCAAAAATGGGCAGAAGACCTAAATAGACATTTCTCCAAAGAAGATATACAGATGGCCAAGAAGCACATAAAAAGCTGCTCAACATCACTAATTATTAGAGAAATGCAAATCAAAACCACAGTGAGCTATCACCTCACACCGGTCAGAATGGGCGTCATCAGAAAATCTACAAACAACAAATGCTGGAGAGGGTGTGGAGAAAAGGGAACCCTCTTGCACTGTTGGTGGGAATGTAAATTGATACAGCCACTATGGAGAACAGTATGGAGGTTACTTAAGAAACTAAAAATAGAACTACCATATGACCCAGCAATCCCATTACTGAGCATATACCGAGAAAACCATAATTCAAAAAGACATATGCACCCCAATATTTATTGCAACACTATTTACAATAGCCAGGTCATGGACGTAACCTAAATGTCCATCAACAGGTGAATGGATAAAGAAGATGTGGTACATGTATATAATGGAATATTACTCAGCCATAAAAAGGAACGAAACTGGGTCATTTGTAGAGATGCGAATGGACCTAGAGAGTGTCATACAGAGTGAAGTAAGTCAGAAAGAGAAAAACAAATATCATATATTAATGCATATATGTGGAATCTAGAAAAATGGTATAGATGATCTTATTTGCAAAGCAGAAATAGAGACACAGACGTAGAGAACAAATGTCTGGATACCAAGGGGGGAAGGGGGAGGTGGGAGGAATTGGGAGACTGGGATTGACATACAATTATGTCTTTTAGAAGCAGAGTAAGGAGGCCCAGAGTCATGATGGTGCAAAATATGCCTACCACATCGACAACTCTCATTGAAAATTTTATATTTCTTCCAACTAAACTATTTTGTGTCTTTGCGTTTGGTCATGGGTTAATGCCAGCAGAACCAGTTTTGATCAGTTTTTTGGCAAGATGCCCAGCACTTCACTTTAGAATATGGTTATATTGGGCATTTAATGTTTTGTCCTTTGGAGTCTGTGCCATATCTCTTACAGTAGAGGACATGTTGCTTTCTACATCCTGTTCAATACAGACTTGGGGACATGTCTGACTTGCACCTCCTTAACTTGCTACACCATTCATTGTAGGCACAATGAGTGCATTTCCTTTTGTACTTTACTTATTTTAGGTAAAGTGGTAGTGCCTGTGTATTGCTGTATTCTCAGAATAACTGTGAAAGGGGAGTTTTATCTGCTCAGGACATGGGATGGCACCTGCATCTGATGTGAAACCTTCTCTTCCTCTTGCTTTTGGGGCCAGGTGATTTAGGTTCTGCTTATTGTCCTGGTGGCCTTGGGAGAGACATTAAATCTCTCTGTGCCTCAATTGCTTCACCTTTATATCGGAGATAGTTTAATACCTTCTCTATGTATTGAAGTGGAAATAACTGAGAAACACAAAATCTTAATACAGTTCATGCTTGGAAGCATGATCCTAAGGTTGCATGTGAAGTGGTAGCACCTCAGGGATCCTATCTCCATGTTGACCCAGGTTGCGCTCCCTATGATGTTGGCCATCTGGGCCCCAACTTCTTGGAAAAAATTTTTTTTAGTTAATTTATTTATTTGGTTGTGCTGGGTCTTAGTTGTGGCAGGTGAACTCTTAGCTGCGGCATGCATGTGGGATCTAGTTCCCTGACCAGGGATCGAACCTGGGCCCCCTGCGTTGGGTACGTGGAGTCTTAACCACTGTGCCACCAGGGAAGTCCCTCTTGGAAAAATTTACTCTATGGTATTTTTAGCCACCTCACCTAGAGGCTGCTAAGTTGACAATGCCCTTTTGGAAAAATACTGGTGAGACCCTGTATATCAGTATAGGTCAAGTCTCTTGCAGAAAGGGAGGGAAGAGAGTCTGGAAGTTCTCCATGGCCATTCATAGGCAGATCTAATTTCAGAAACCAGACATATGGAAGATGAATATGTGGAAATGGGACTAGGATTCTCCTTGCCCAGCTCTACTTAGTCTCTGCGTTATTTAGAGATATCACTCAGCATAATGAGTGAGAACAGGGGATACCTGGAGAAAACTAGACAGAAACAGAAAAGGGGAAAGAAAGGAGTAAAGAGAATGAATTTTGAGATATCCAGGAAGACAAGGGGGATTGTACAAGGGGGCAAGAGCATATGATAACCTCATTCAGTATTGGGTGCACGTCATGGTTTACATGAGGATCCAGCTCAGCCCGATACATATGATTACCTGACAAGCACTGGAGTTGACCAACATCCTGCATTAGAAACTACCCATCAGGCTGTACAGACCACCCTTCCCCTCGGGCCAGTCATCTATGCAGCATATTTTTAGGGAAATTGTCAGTGGCTGACGTTTATGCAGAATGGAACTTGTGGCAAAAATATGGTCTACTAGGCAATGGCACTCTTAAGGGTTTGTTCATGGTCCTTGCCTGAATCTGCCACATGATGTACCCCATTTGAGAGACTATTGTTGGCTTGTTAGTGGGTGCTAGTGGACCTCTAGAGAGTAACAAAGCAAGAGCAAGGATCGTTACACACTGGCTCCCATTTCATGGCATTGGTCCCAGATGAGAATATCAACGAAATGGGCATTGTACAGGAAATGTCCATTTTATGTGAAAGTGGTATATTTAGGGAAGAAGCAAACTGAGCTCTAATGGTGTCTCAGAGGTGCAGGGAAAGATAGCCGGTCACTCTCCAGAGGTAGCTGTCTCAGATACAGATACCGTGGCAGCACGTCAGCCTCTGGTGGCTTCCATACACCTAGGCTCCTGCGGGTGCTGCGTCTAATGAATGGGCTCATCAGGCAAGTTTAAGGCAGATGGGTTGTAGTGGGCTGCGGAAGCTGTCTAACCCAAAGAAAAGTGGAGATGCGGGCTATGGTGCTTGCCCTGGAAAAATATCCCCCCAAATGCACCTTTTTACGTTTTCAATCACTCATGGGCAGTCATCTGTGAGTTTACAGTTTGGTCTGGTGTCTGACAGTGTGCCGACTGGATCACCGTATCTCAGCTCCCCGGA